TTTTCTCTGAAAAATCAATCAATGACCAAAGAATCAAAGAGGCAAGATAAACTCTCTCGGGGTAGATCAGAAGGACCAAGTCAAAGAATATTTAATGAGAGGTCAAGGAAGTAACCAGGCATGGACAAACGCATAAATATCGCATATTCCGGTCAAAGAGTATGAGAGATTCCCAATGCCAGGATCGAACTGAGCATAACCCTTTAAACATGCATTTAGATCATCCTTAGGGCATATTGCTAACATGAAATCATGGCATATGACCATTTTTACAGGATCTTCAAGACTTATTTCATTATTGAAGCAATGAATCAGTCAACATCAACTGACCAGATCTCCTCATCACATAGGAGAGTGTCAACATTAGGATAACCAGCCGTCCTCATCACGTAGGAACCGAGTTATCACCCTTCCTAAAGATGGCCAGAGTTCTTCATCATGTATGAACCATGTCATCTACCCTTAGACGACCAGACTTCCTCATCACGTAGGAGCCGTGTCAACCTTAGATAATCAGCCGTCCTCATCACGTAGGAACCGAGTTATCACCCTTCTTAAAGATGACCAGAACTCTTCATCGCGTATGAGCCGTGTCATCCCTTGATCAGCCGTCCTCATCACGTAGGAACCGAGTTATCACCCTTCTTAAAGATGACCAGAACTCTTCATCGCGTATGAGCCGTGTCATCCCTCGACCAGATTTCCTCATCACGTAGGAACCGCGTTAACCTTAAAACGACCCGAACCTTTCATCACGTATGAGCAGTGTCGTCTCCACCAACAAAACTATCCATTTTTTTTAAACCAAAAAGGGAGAAAACCAGACAAAAAATGTGATGACTTGTCATCTTTGCCATATTCTTGTTAACACAAGAATGTGCAAAGAGGGGCAGCTGTAGACACCCGTTTTTGTCCGGGTCTTTTCTATCTAATTATTATTATTATTATTATTATTATTATTATTATTATTATGCTTATTTTTATTAACATATTAATACAATTTTTGCAGGCCAATTATTGAGGCCCGATCAGCTAACCTACCCATGAGCCCAATTACAACATTTTCCAGGCCCAGTACAATGACCAGAAGCCCACTTGGATGGCCCAACAACTAACCCTAACTCTAGGGTTTCTCCTTCTCTGCTTTAGCCGTCCCTCTCACCAGCCGTTGGATCTGGACCTAAATCAATGGTCCAGATCAGGAGATATTTAGGGTTTCAACCCTAATCCCCTAACTACACAGCCGCCGCTCAAGCCAGATTCCAATCCCCAGCCGCACGTTGATCTTCACCGGTCATTCCTGAGCCGCGTGAGTTGCTATCGAGCCAACCCAAGCCACCGGGCATCTCTCAAGTCAAGTTCATCATCAACAGTGGATGAAAAATAATCCATCAGTCAGTGATTCAAAGAAAAAATCAAATAAAATCAAGCAAGTACACAAGAAATCCCGAAAAATCGGGATGTAATCATGCAAAGTTAGTGAGACCCATCCCCTATTTTTCCTAGATATCATCATCATCTCACCAGAAATCCACATGGAAGCAAACATAAAAGAGAAAAGAAGAGTAATCCGTGAAAGAGGACACGAAAAAAGAAAAAAGGAAAAAAAAATAAAAACCAGGCAAAGAGAAAGAGAAAAAGACCGAAAGGTCTTACCTTCCGAGCTATCACCGTCGTGAGCTTCACTGGACCAAACCCCTTTTGTTTCGAAGGTAAAGATTTAGTTGTTTTAGTTTGGTTGTGGGAAAAGGGGCTCTGTTTCTATGTTGGGTTTTTAGGAAAGTAGAGGAGAAAGAAAGAGAGGAGGGGCTTTTATGGCGTTTAACCCCGTGGCCAACGTTCGCGGTGGCCGGGGCTTTGGTTTGCCACATACGGCGGCGTGAGGGTTGTAGCAGAGAGAACTCTCTCTTTCTGTTTGTGATTTTGCTGAGAAGAGCAAATGAAATGGTTAAAGGGAGAGATGAAACCCTATTTTGGGTTTTAATCAATACGACACCGTTTAAGGGTTAAAAGGAGGTCTACGTGTTTCATATTTAGGGTTAATATCAGAATAGGTCACCGTAATTCTGTAATCTCACGCGTTTTCTTTTCATTTTCGGGGTAAATTACATTTTAAATCCCTTTAGCTTTGTAATGTTTGTAATATGATCCTTAATGAAATTTCATCTTTCTATTTTGAGCTCTTTATTTATTTCTTGTTTCGTTTTAATCCTATATGATTAGTATTATATTTTCTAAGTGTTTAGATTTTTGGTTGCTTGTTTTGTATAGTGTTCGTTTTAGTCCTCATTTACATGTTTTGTGTAATTATTTGATTTTGAGCCTTAGAGTTTAGATTTGCTTCATTCCAGTCCTTATTTCATGTTGTTTCTTATTTTTTACGTCATTTAATTTCGTGCATATTATTTTGTAGATCTCCATTTTAATCTTATTGGTATTGGTTTTATTTGATTCTAGTGCATGTTTCTTTTCTGAAATTTATTATCAGGTCCTTGTTCTTTCTCATCATTGTTGTATAATCTTAAGGCTGATTATTTCTTTAGATCTGGTCAACATGATGTAATATTTATTTTATATTATATATATATATATATATATATATATATATATATTCCCTTATATTTTCTACAACTCACGCATAGTACTTTGTGTAATAAATCATTATTTTATAGATAACGTATATATATATACTAAATATGTTTTATTTTGTGTTATATTATGCGCATATTTATTTATCTATTTCAATTTATATTCTTATTTTTATAATCTCTTTACATGTTTAAATATGCATTTAGCTATTAATTTTTACTCATTTATGTGTTGTTATTCGAATGTATTTCAAGAACACGTATTTGTAGAATGGGCGTGGAGAGTATCACTTGATCGAAGTGGTACAATCTAATACGACGTTCAAACAAGAATAAAAAAAAATGCAAATTCTTCCTTTTACAAGCTTATAGAAATTATTTTTATTGTTATTCTATTTTTTATTTGATGTTCATATTGTTTAATATTTAAATTTTAATCTTTATTATTATTTCTTCATTGAATCTTAATATGAGTGATGTATGTTTTGGAAAAATAAAATGCATTTTATGTCAATTTTCGATATTATTTTTTAATTTAAAGAGAAAATATTCTTTACAAGTAAGAAATAGACGAGGTAGCTTTCCCGACGGAGGATTGCAAATCTCGGGATTTCTTGTCAAGAAAAGGGTTTTTTCTTTTATTTTAACTAATATTCAATAAATAGATCATAATTTATTTATTATTCTATTTTTATAATTTTTATTGTATTAACGGTTTTTATGTTAATATTAACGATACATGTTTTAGATAAATTAAGCATATTTTATTTTCTACTCATGTCGATATTATTTGGTGGTAATTCAAAGATAGAACATACTTTATAGATAAGAAATAGATGAGATAGCTTTCCCGTTGGAGGATTGCAAATCTTGAGATTTCTTACCAAGTGAAGTATTTCTATTATTTTAACAAATATTCAATAAATAGATCATATTTTTACTTCTGATTCAAACTTTAAGTTCTACCATTTATGACGATATATTAAGCGACTAAGTACCGATTGTGGGCGTTGTGGATGTTTATCTTTTCCACAGACGTAACCGACTTCCGAACCCCTAAATTTTCTTCTGATAACGCAGACTTGTATTTGTATAAAAAATGATTTTCCTTAAAATTGTTTTTTAAATTAAAAACGTTTTTTAGGTATTCGACCTACCTAACCCAAAGGTCGATGGCGACTCATTTTCAATTTAATTTTAATTAATCCATAATCTCTAATTTTTTTAAATTAAAGTCATAATTGTTTTTTTAAAAAATAATAAAAAAATAGTTTTATAAAAAATGGTTATGACAGAAGGTATATAACCTAATCTAAATGAATCGAGCTTGTGTATTCGTTGGCTAGAATTTGTGGTCCCTTTAGTGATTAATGCTGTGGTGGATTAAATCTTAAGAGCTTGTCTAGGGTTGTTCATTAACTAGGGAAATAATCAAAGAGCTTCTCTTGATTATCGAGAAACTAAGGAGAGACAAGTTGTTAGAGCTTCTCAATAATCATAACCAATTTAGTGAAAAGTAGAATATTTTATCATTGCATCTATGATCAATTCTATGAACCAATTATGAAATTATGCCTTTAGTTGGATATTTGCTTAATATTAATTTCTCTAAATTCTTAGTTAATTATAATTGTTTTTTCTTTTTATCTTTCTCAATTTTAAACCCTTTTATTTGTTTTAATTTTCATTAAAATAAATCTACCAAATCTATGTGGATTCTACCTTACTTATCGTTACTATAATTTTATATTTTCTAAAGCAAATATTATTATTTGTTGGATTCGGCCCTCACCAAGTTATGTTGTACCTTGTTTTCCCCAAAGTGAGCCAAAGCATAACCGAAAGTTTACCATCATGATGAAGATAAAAGAAAGGCTATCCGTTATGCCTAATATTCTTCTTGTTTGTTAGGGAACTTTTGTTCTTGTTCGATTTAATTATAAAAAAAAAAATCATGATTAGTTATTTTAAATTAATCACTTTCAAAGTTATTAAGATTAAATAATTTTAATATATTAAATTTTTAAATATCAAAATTGAGGTCTTTTTTTGGAAGGTTAATTAGATAAACTACCTATTTGGTCATTTATTTATTATTTTATTTATGTTTTGATTATTCAATTATTATTTCTTTAAAATTATATCTTATTAAGTTATGTTATAGTTTTGTTTTGATCATCTACTGTTAAAAAAGTTAACGGTGATATTGATGTATCACTGTAGTTACGTCAATATTAAAAATAAAAAAAAATTAATGATAGGCTCATAAATATAATTTTATATATAATTTTGAGAAAATAATAATTAGAGAAACAAAACGTAAACTAAATAATTGGGGTAGGTGACCAAGTAGCTAGTTTACCCAATTAATTAATGTATAGAAACATTAATTTCAGGACAAAAAAAGGGGGGCAATATTGCTGACAGAGAGGCAGACTTAATGAATGTGCAACCTCTGGTCTTGTCCATAAGCAAACAATGCAAATCTCTCTTAAAACACTACACTGCTGCTAAGTCCCTCACCAAAACAACACAACTCCATGCCTTGATCATAACGTCAGGCCTCCTTTGCCCCCGTTTATCCTCAGACCTTTTATGTTTTTATGCTTCTTGCGGTCACATCGAAAATGCTCGCAAACTGTTGTATGAAATGCCTCAACCAACTTTGTTTTCATATAACATGATGTTCAAAATGTACTCAAAGCGTGGGTTTTTTTTGGAAACCCTTAATTTGTTTGTTGAGATGATTAGCTCGGGAAAATGTATGGCGGATAATTTCACTTACCCTTTTGCTTTTAAGGCTATTGGGGAAGAAAAATTGGTTGGTTTTGGTAGGGTAGTTCATGGGAGAGCTTTGATGGGTGGTCTTGAAAATGATAGTTTTGTGATGAATTCTTTGTTGGCAATGTATATGAATTGTGGGAAGAAAGAGGAAGGAGGAAAAGTTTTTGATTTTATGTGGAAGCCTAACGTTGTATCATGGAATTCGATGATTAGTGGGTACTTTAAAAATGTATGGGCCAAGGAAGCTTTGGGATTTTTAATAAGATGGTGGATGATGAGGTGATAGTGGACATTGCTACCGTTGTTTCGGTTTTGCCTGTTAGTGGATTTTTGAAGGCTCTGGAGGTTGGGAAAAGGGTTTATGAGTTGGTAAAAGAGAAGGGTTGGGAGAAGGAAATAGTTGTAAGGAATGCATTGGTGGATATGTTTGCAAAGTGTGGGAGCATGGCGGAAGCTAGGTCGGTTTTCAATGGGATGGATCAGAGAGATGTGGTTACTTGTACTTCTTTGATCAATGCGCATATTTTGAATGGCGATTTACGAGCTGCAGTGAGACTCTGCTTCTCGATGGTACTTGAAGGTGTGAGGCCGAATTCGGTTACCCTTGCATCTCTTCTTTCAGTTTGCGGGGAGTCGAACAATTTAATGGACGGCAGGTGTTTGCATGGTTGGGCAATAAGGCAAAAGCTCGAGTCTGATGTTATGGTGGAGACTTCATTGATTGATATGTATGCTAAATGCAATTGTATTGATCTTAGCTTTCAAGTTTTCAAGAGAACTTCGAAAAAGAAAACGGTTCCATGGAATGCAATTCTTGCTGGGTGCATTCATAATAGACTTGGAAACGAAGCTATAAAACTTTTTAAAGAAATGCTGATAGAAGGTGTGAAACCTGATGGTGCTACCTTGAAGAGCTTTCTACCTGCATATGCCATTCATGCGAATTTACAGCAAGCAATGAACATGCATTCTTATTTGGTAAGGTCTGGATTATTGTCAAACAGTGAAATCGCTATAGCGGTGGTTGATATATATTCAAAATGCGGTTGTTTAGAATCTGCTCACATGGTCTTTAACGGGATACCGGACTTGAACAAGGACATTTATGCATGGAGTGTGATAATACCTGGTTATGGAGCACATGGGAACGGTGAGGTTGCTGTTTCTCTTTTCACAGAGATGGTTCGAGCCGGGGTAAAGCCTAACGAAGTGACTTTCGGTTCTGTGCTGCATGCCTGCAGCCATGCTGGTTTGGTGGACGAGGGTTTGGATTTGTTCAACTTCATGCTTAGGAACTACCAAATAAGCCCCAAAACCGATCATTACACTTGCATTGTCGACCTTCTTGGCCGTTCTGGAAGACCGGACGAAGCTTATGATATCATTCGAACAATGCCGTTCTCACCTAATCATGCCGTTTGGGGTGCATTGCTCGGTGCTTGCGTGATACATGGGAATGTTGATCTAGGGGAGATAGCTGCAAAGCGGCTTTTCGAGCTGGAGCCGGGAAACACTGGAAATTATGTCCTGATGGCTAAAATATATTCTGCTGTTGGAAGGTGGGAAGATGCGGAAAATATGAGACGAATAATAAATGAAATCGGATTGCGGAAAGCACCAGCTCACAATTTGATTCAGGTCAGAAATATGTAAAATTTTGTGCTTGGATAATTATTTTGAATGATTCAAAACCATACCTAACGTTTAGTACCTAAACTATGTATTTAGTACCTAAATTATTAGTTTTGAACCGTTTTAGTATCTAAACTTTTATTTTTTTTAAATCATACTTAACGTTTAGTTTTTATTTCATTTTAATATCTCGGCATTAAAAACTTCAACATTTTTAGTACTTAAATTATCAGTTTTGGTCTATTTTAAAAACTTAACACGTTTAGTACTTAAACTATACAAATGAGTTTGTTAGGAGCTGTAACATTTTGCAATGGTAGTTAAGTGAATTGACGGTTTAGAAGGAACGGTATACGTAGAAGAGAAGCAAGCTAGTCGAGTGGGGTTAGTTTTATCGCAGCCTGAACATTTTCTGGAGGCTTATTAAGAAGGTGAGATTACAAATTGGGCAAGAAAGCAACAATTTTGACAACAGGATTGGTTCTATTGACATTTTTTTAGGAAGGAACTGCTGGTTACGTAATTGGTTCTATTAGTTTGTAACATAGCAAGCAATGGTTTTCTGGGTTCTCACATTGCTTTTCCTATATACTTGTCTGGAACAAGGTGCAAAAATATACAGACAGATTAGAAATGGGGAAAGAGAACTTTGACTCTATTTTTTTCCCCTTTCCAATGAGAAAATATATTCTTTTATTGGTTTCATTATCTTTCTGCCCTCTCCATTTTGAATTTCTTATTTAAATTTGTTAAATATTTTAAAATATATATATATATATGCAAATTAGGGCCCAACCGGACTTGAACCGGTGACCTCTTGATCTGCAGTCAAATGCTCTACACTGAGCTACGGGCCCTGCTTATAGTAAGTAAAAACATATTTTAATGATTATTTTAATTACTAATTATTTTCTCCTTTGAATTAGGCTTGATCATTAACTTTTTTATAAAAAAATTATCCATTTTGTACTTAGATTTTATTATTTTAATGATGTAAAAATTTTGAGATTGAATCATATAATATAATTTTAAAGTACTATGTTTTCAAAAGGATTAAAGATGAAAGAGTTATTAAATTCAAGATAGAGATAAAAGTAGATTAAAAATATCTTCTTCTTTATCAATTTAAAGATGAAAGAGTTTTTAAATTCAAGATAGAGTTATTGAATCATATAATATAATATAATTTTGAGAAAGAATCATATAATATAATTTTAAAGTTGCAGCCTTTTATGGTTCCCCTGCATATCTGTTTCTACCTTGTTTATGAATTAAATTGTTCAATTTTTCTTTTTTATCAAAAGAGTTGCAGATGATGGTATTCGAAGTTTGAACTGGTTGAATGCCCACCTTTTGGTGTCTTTACAGCATTCCAGACCGAGGTTCTTGTTTACACTAAAGGAGAAGGGGCCAAGTAAAGATCTTCAGGAGTAGGGATTTTCAAGGTTCCTGGAGATGGCCTGTGTTCAAGATCAATTGGAGATCAAATTTAGATTGACCGATGGATCGGATATCGGTCCTAAAACCTTTCCTGCTGCTACCAGTGTTGCAACCTTGAAGGAAAGTTTTCTTGCACAATGGCCTAAAGGTCAGTTCGAAGTTTGACTAAATCAGAAATTTATTTGTGATAGTCAGACTTATCAGGTTTATTGTATTTAAATGTATCTGTTCTTCATCTAATTGTCTTTTGATTACTGTTTCATTCTTCAATATGGCTTGAACTAGGAAGATGGGATCATGATATTGGTTTTAGCAATTTGTTTTGTATTGCTGGTTGAATATCCAGATGAATAGAAACTATGCATGAAAATATTATCTTATGCTAGAAAAATTCATGGCAGAGAAACTGGAATGTGTTCTTTGATCATTAAATTTTATTAGAAATGGTGATTATTTACTGTTGTATGAAATGCCTAACAATGAAATATTTCCTAGGCAACCAAAATAATATGTTACCAAATATGAACAAAGAATGATTTGAGCCTTTCCCCATGAACAGAAAGGTCATTTTTTCTTCTATTTGTATAAACTTGTATCATTTGATGAGTCAGTGTGTCACTGAATACTTCTCTTTCTTATCACTTAAACCATCATATTGTACTGGTATTCGGTTTGCTTCAGTGCATCATTGGTGTTTTTATTGGAAATGGGTGTGTATCGGATGCCGGGTTTTCAAACTTCTTCAGAGATTATCTGGGCTGAAGTTCAAAGATTTATGGTAGTATATCGTTGCTGTCGGTTTGTTTTTGCCTGTTTTTTTGTGTGCATTGTCATGTTAAAGTTGTTCCAAGCAAGTAATCACACTTGTTTAATTTTGTTCAGAGGAGGAGGATGGTCCAAGAACAGTGAAAGATCTCAAGTTAATTAGTGCTGGAAAAATATTGGAGAACAACAGAACACTGGGGGAGTGCCAAAGCCCTCTTTGTGATATTCCTGGCGGGTTGACAACGATGCATGTCGTCGTTCAGACTCCTCCAGGGAAAGGTACAGTTATTATCTGTGGGGATCCATAAATTATAATCTGAACTTTCTCATATGCAGTTTAGAATTAATTTTCTTTCCTTATCAAGCAGAAAAGGCAGCAAATAAAACACAGCAGAACAAATATGTCTCTGTCATATTATAATCCACAGCTCGCCGAGAGGATAACGTCATTTTCAGGTGGTTTTCGTTACTCTACTGTTTCTTTTGCAGCTAACATAACATAACCCTTGGTTTTTAAACCGAATTTCATTCAAAAAAATTCTGCAGACGAGGAGTGCTTGAACTGGTATAGAAGTTCAACTTGGGGACTTTTACGATTGATGAAGGTGATCAGCAACTCAGCATCTTGCATATTTATCATATAGGTTGTGTTTTTTAGCTTCCGGTTTACAGATCACCATCCACGCTTTCCTTTCCTTTCCTTTCCTTTCCTTTCACTTCTCTCGTTTCAAGTTATCAAATCGCAGATTTTGTCCAACTTCGTCACACCAAATGCATTTTCTGTGCTCCGATTCGTCTTCCCTTGTACAATATCGCCTTTTATCTTGTAATCGAACTCATGTTGGTTGTCATACTTTTTACCGATTATAAAGATCCATGTTGACCTCCTTTTGCAAATGCTGCCAATATTTCATCATCTCATTTTTGCATTTCATTTCAAATAAACAGTAAAATTTCAAAGAAGGGTAATAAAAAATCTTGTTTTGTTGCCCTTAAGATTATAAACATGTTTGCATAATTGTGAAATGGTATACGATGATGTATAAGCTTAGACATATCTAAGTTCCTGCGGGTTAAGGAGCTCCATGTCATCGTTTCCGACCTGAGACCGTCTTTTTAACAGCTCTGACGGACACTAAAAACTCATCGAGGGATGATAAGGTCCTCATATCATCTGGCGGGAAGTAACTGGCTGCCTTCCCCATGAGTGATGTGAAGAGAAGAGAGAGTGAAGGCCGAGTGACATAACGCTCACCCAAAAGATCATCAAGAAATACAAATGCAGTTAACAGTTCGGCTCGGCCTGCTTTGATTGGTCCTGCGAAATGTGCTGGGATTATCCTCTTAAATTTCCAGTCCCTTGCAATGCCATCGATCCAATCCCGAACCTGAATTTCGGAGAAGGATGAACAATAGTTAAACAGTTACACCCAAAATCAAATCACTTAAATGGAAACATACAAAACGACTAGGCCAGGGATTCTTGACAGATGAAATAATCTCTTCTGGTTTATGCTGTAAGAAAATCGGTGTGTCAAATATACTAGTTGGAAACGGAAAAATGTTAGAGTTCGGGATAACATAGATCAAATGGGCTCTTAGTTCTTACCTTTTCTGGAACTTTGCTGAAGACTAGTGTCTTTACAATCGGAGAAACAATTAACTTTTGAGACATCTGAGCAAAACTAGCATTTGGTTCCAAAAGATTCGACGGACCGAGGAACAGTATCTGTAGAACCATTCTTTCCCATCCTGTGACATCATGCATTACTCTCATTCAAGTTCGAGTATACGTGAACACAGTCAAGTTATATCAAACTAATTTGAAAGTATTTGAGCTCTTCAAAATAATTCGACATGAAAATCTAACCTTTTTGACGGTTTCTTTCGTTGTCAACAACCGGTTCATCAATAACTTTCTTCCCTTTGCTAAGAATCTTCACTGCCAATCCATTTTTGGCTGATGCCAAGAGGTACTCTTTGTTGATACACTCTGGTGGCTTTTTCGGAACATATATGACAGCGTCTGTAACCAGAAGTGTTCTCGAACGTTTATGATAGAAAGCAACCTCTACGTATGGTCCAATCCCTGAAATGGTTCAAGGAAATCGAGCTCGAACTTTGAACATCTTTAGAGATATAGTTGAAAGCAGCAGCTAATATTTAACTTACCAACTTCTGGTGAGCTCAGAACTTTCTGTTCAATCTCATCCGCCCATGGAGTTGATGGATCGTTGTTTTTCAAGATTTTGGCACGAAAAATCCCGAAAAACTCGAGGGGTAAATTCAAGGGCCAGCTCCACTGCCTCGGTGCCACCCAAACTTGAGCCTTTGGAAATTTTCTAGAAAATGGACCCACGAAAATCTTATGCTCGTATGCAAATGTAGGCAGGACAATGTATTCTACCGGAGCTCCTAATTCCTTCAGAAGCTGGGAAATAACAGACAAATCCCTATTCCCTTGTTAGATTATGCATAACGAGTTCGTTAAAGAGCAAAACCGGAGTAGAGGTCAAACACTCAAACCAATGATGCCTTTGAGCCACCAGTTCTTTTGGTCCGATTGTTCAGATCAAATGTTTAACTACAGAACTTGAAGTTCTATAACAAATAACAGACAGTAGCTGGTTCATGCCACTATTCGTTAAGGTTTTCATCTTCTAAGATGAAGCAATTCAATGAATTTTCTTGTTTTCATTTTACAGGATTCATATCCTACTCAAAGCAGCTGCAATCAAAATCGATGCATAATCGAAAAGTCGAGAATTTAGAGAGGAAAAATGAACCTCAATGCACTCTTTGGTAGGGGCAATAGGTGCATGAACCCATAGTCCCCCAGATTTCAGTTTGATGACTGTCATCCGAATGTTTGTGGACACACTGCTGAACCCTAAAGCTTGCTCTTGTTCGAATAGCCATATGGAGCCTTTCACAGCCTTGCAAAACACGAAAAAGAAGAAGAATCAGTATAAGAAATTATAGATCGATTAAACTTCAAAATTCAAACTTTGGCATGACATTAATTAAAAGAAGAAAAATCTGACCTCAGTCCTAGTGGTGCGCCTGTTAAGAAAAGGACCGAGGGGGAAAGGGAAGCCAGTGATATTAAAGTAAAACCTGTTGGCGGAGCCACCACTATCTCTTCCAGCTGCGGCGGCGGTGGAACCAGAACCAGCTGAAGCAACCACCAAGCTGAAATTGCAATCCTTTTGCTGGCTTCTTCTTGGTTTCAACTCTAAAGAAAATCCCTTCAAGGAATTACCAAGGAAACTCAAATTGGAATCTCTTAAAGAGATTGGACTATGAAAAAGAGTTGAATTTGGAGAAGAAACAGCGATGACTGCCACCATTTTTTTTCCTTTTGGGAATCTTTGTTTAGTAAATGTGGCAGTTTTAACTTGAAACAACAGCCAGAAAGTTCTTGCACGGAGGAGAAAGACAAGATGCAATTACGGGACATGGTTCCGACACGTGGAGGTTCATAGTCCAACTTGGATTTATGTGAGGAAGGAAAAATAATGAAACAAAAGGAATCATGAAAGTTAAAGGCTTATACACTGTGGCCCTAAATTGAAGCTTAAATAATTTTTTGATTTAAAATAAGTGTTTAACGTTTTATTCATTATATTTTTAATTTTTAGATATTTTTTATTATATTTTTTATTTTTAAGCCATAATACATTTTTAGGTGTGCGATAACTTAACTATTTTTTTAAGTTTATATATAATGCTATATTTTGGTTATGTTTTGATCATCGATAGTTAAAAAATAATGATTTTGACATACCACATTATCATTGAAAAATAAAAAAAATTACCACGTCAATATTTATATTTATTTTCTAACGATGAGTGATCAAAACATAAATAAAATATATCTAACATTAGTTATGATTTAAAAAAATAATTAGGTGATCAAAATAAAATCATATGAATAAATAGGTGACTAAATACGTAGTTTACTCTTGAAGACACTAGTTTTTTCTTATATATTTGGTTTTTTTATTATATTTATTATTTTTATTACTATTATTATTATTTTTATTATTAATATTATTTTTATTATTAATATTATTATTTTATTACAGATACAACCCAAGGCCCAACTCTGGCCCGATTACAACCAGGCCCGATCAGAAATGGCCCAAGCATAACCCTAAACCCATTTATAGTTGGCCCAAACTAGATAGAAATCCTAAAACATTTAGGGTTTCAGCTAGGGTTTTCTAACCCTAGCCCCGCGTGGCGCCGCCTCATGTTTCCATATCATCCAGCCGCCTCAGCATCACAGCCGTTGGATCTGAGAGATCCAACGGCCCACACGCATCCAGCACAAACCCTAGGGTGTTGATACCCTAGGGCCACGCGGCCGCCGCAGCTACTCCCACCATCTCCACCGCTGCCATGTCTCGTCGAAAGCTTCCATAAGAGCCACTCCAGCTGCACACATGTCACCCCAACGGTGAGTCACCACTGGAAGTCCGGTGACTCACCAAACTCCACTCTTTTACCCGGTCCGAGAGCCACACCGGTGATGGCTATAAAGCCATCGACCACCTGCAAACAAGAGGGGACAAAGAGAAAGAAAAAAAACAAGAAAAAAAGAGAAAGCAAACCAGCAACCACAAATACAAAAAAAAACAAGGAGAAGACGGAGAGATACTTACTGAGGAAGCTGTAACATCACCGGAGCCTTCACACGTCATCGGAAACCTTCGAAAACCGAAGGTATTTTCTTAGATTTGCTCCGATCGGGAGTGTTTTAAGGGAAACGGTCATCGGAACCATCAATAGGATGGTTCGATCTATATTTAGGTGTAAAAAAAAATTTCGGCCACCGGATACGGTGGCCGGTGGCGGGGTTAACGCCGGCGAACGGCTGCCGGCCGGTGCCATTCTCTCTGTTTTAGAGAGAAGAGAGAGAGAGAGTGAAAGTGAGAAATGAGAAATGAGAACTGGCCCTTCGGGCCGGTTAGGGGCTTAAATAGCCCTCCCCAAACGATGTCGTTTTGGGAAGGGGTCTGTATGTAATTAACTAAAAGTTAAACCCTTTCCGCAGCCATCCTAATTTATAATCTTTACATTTTAGTCACTAAATCAATTTATAATCCTTTTAATTCGGTTCTTTAATTTTACTTTTATTTATTTTAGTCCTTTATATTAAAATAATATATTTAGGATAAATAACATATTTAGTCCTTTAATTTTAATAATTGATATTTTAAACCCCGAACATCATATTTCAATTTATTTTTAATTTGATATACGAATTTTATATAATTTTAGTTTAGTCACCAAATTAATAAATAAGAAGAATAGCATGTTTAATCCCTGTAATTTTAAATAATTAATCATGAATTAGGTATTTAATTTTATTAGATTATAATTTAGTCACTAATTTTAAATATTTTCATTTATTATAAAGTTTTACTGCTTTTAAATATATAGTTCTAATTTTATTTTTATTGTTTATTTATGTTTTAATTTTACTTGTTTATATTTAAATATTATTTTTATTATTATTATATAGTCATATAAATATATATAATAAATAATAATTTATATTAAGTCTTAATTTGATTTTACATAAATTATTTTTATCATATTTTAATATTTATTTATTTTTCAATATAAAAAAAGGGTAGTCTTAATATAAATGGATGTCATATTCTGGTATTTTAAAATTAAATATTATAAAAAATTATAATTTAATTTTATTTAAATTATTATATTGTTAATATCAAAGAAAAGAACTGTCTTAAGGCAACTAGAAGTCCTTTTCTGCTATTTTTAAATAAATAAATATTTTATTTATAAATATATATAAATTAATATATATTTTTCATAATTATAATAATCTTAAAATAATAGGATTATAAATTAAAAATATTTTGAATTTTGAATTTCTAATAATAGAGACAATGTATAATTAAAAAGTACCAATTTTGGGCGTTGTAGGGGTGCTAATCCTTCCCTAAACGTAACCGATCACGAATCCCTTTTTATTATTAAAAAGAATGAATTTTTGGTTAAAACGCAGATCAGTTTATCTTTTAATCGATGTTTTCTTAAAAACTCTTTTAAAAGACGATTTTTAGGTATTCGACCTACCTAACCCAAAAGGCCGATGGCGACTCCCAAAATATTTTTTAAAAAAATCAAAAACTATTTATTCACATCACTTTTCCCGCCAAGTAAAAAATTCGTGCCCGGACAAAAACCGGTTACGACAGCTTGGCAACTCCGCTGGGGACACTGGTCAAACTTTTAAAATCAATTATAAATTGTCTCTATTAATTATAAATTAAAAATTCATATATTTAATTTATAATTCTTTCTTTTTAAATTTTTTTATATACTTATTATTTTTATAGTATTTATATTAATATTTCATTTTACTTGTAAGTATTTTATTTCATTATTTATTTTTCTGTCAGAGGTTTGAATATTTCTCCTCACACACAACACTTGCATTGCATAACATAAAGCTCTATAATTGAGTTTGTCCCTTTTAAGTGGGAGTGAAAGCGACGTCTTCGTGAGAATTTATTCTCTGTGTCAGACCTAGCAAGTAACTTTCGGGGTTCATATGCTCTATGTCTTCGTGAGAATTTATTCTCCGTGTCAGGCATATAGAAGTGTATCCCCTCGAATTGAACTCGATCCACTTTAGTCTGTGATGGACTAGGATTGAGGGTTAACAGCCCAAGGGGGCACTAACAAGGACAATTCGGGTATCTTTATTCTTAGATCAGAAACCTTGCATATAATAAACCCTAGAAACTCTTCCGATCTGAAGCCATGCCGAAATTTTGTCCAAAATAGGTGTACACACAGGAGAAATGAATTCTAACTTTCCTTTTAATTTATTTATTTATTTTCTTACTGATTAAATTGCATGTGAATTTAAATTATTTAAAATATGAAGAAAACATGTTTAAATAAGGATATTTAGGTAGACATTATTATTAAATTTTTTTTATTATGTAAACTAATGTATTTCTTTGTGTGTTCTTTATTTCTTCTGTTTGCATAGCATCATACATGATAAAAGACATTGATCCTCGTGTTAATTGTCTCATTGGAAAACCTTCATCCATGGATAAAAAGTGTTCAAATCAAATAGTTCTAAACTCAGAAGTAAGACAGTGGGCTGAGGACTTACAAAGACAAGGAGGAGACAGTCTGCAAGATGACTATGTATCTGACTTGGCCAGTTATGCTCCAGTTTCGCTAAAAAGAAATTATATGCAAGATTTGCGAAGCATTTGGGAAAGTTGGGACTCAAACAAAAAGTTGCAGTTTTATCAGACTTACGGAGACATCCCATATTTGCTCTATGTTGAAGTTGATGATGACTTACTTCGAGCCCTAATTCAATTCTGGAATCCAGGGTACAATTGATTCACTCTCAATAAAGAGGACTTGGTCCCTACTATTGAAGAATACACAACTTTGCTACATATAGAAGGGGCTTTGGAGAATCGAATTTATTCAAAGTCATTTAAAACTCAACATTTTCGAGTTAAATTAGCAAAGATTGCTGGAGTACGAGAGGAATGGGTGGTATCTCGTACAAAACAAAAAGGCGAAAGCGAAGGCATTGCTTGGACCAACATTAAAGAACTTATTCAGAGTCATCCATACACTAAAGTACGATTCGATCTCTTTGCTCTGGGTATGTATGGTATGGTCATCTTCCCAAAAGTATTGGGATATATTGAAGCTGCAGTAGTAGATTTGTTTGAGCAGATACCAAAAAAGATTAATCCTGCTTCTGCAATTCTAGTAGAGACTTTCATATCGTTAAACGCTTGTAGAAAGCTAGGAGGTGGAAGATTCTCAAGGTGTACCCAATTGTTATATGTCTGGATCCGTAGCCATTTTTGGAGGACAGAAAAGGTTTCATACCGGCGCTTTAATACGGATTACTCACCATTAAAAGAATTTCTGGAGCAAGAATGGCCGAAAGAAATTAAGAAAGATATGTGGATTAATGCCTTTCGAAATCTGCAAAGCAATGACATTGTTTGGCGAGCCCCGTGGCAAATCCAAAGGGAATTCTTTTACAAATGTGGTGATTACAACTGGATAATGCTGCTCGGATTGTGGGGAGGAATTGGATATGCACCACTTCTGGTCATAAAGACAGTATGAAGGTCGTCAATTTGTACCTGCACTGCTGGATTACATTCATTTGAGTTCGCATTCCACAACAAAAATTATAAGAGAAATATCATGGAAGCCTTTACAGCTTGGAAAACAACTTTTTGTATCCGAGCTAAAGCAGCAAAAGAAATGCTAACTCCTGATTATGAGGAATGGAGATCTGTCAGGAAAATGAAATATTCCTCTACCAAACCAAATGAGGATA